GCTGGGAGCACAGCGACGCTCCTGCCGCGGGTTGGGATCCTATATAGGACTGGCTGGTGCGCTCACTGGCTGAGCGCAGTGCGGACGACACCACACCAAGGGTTGTGATCCTCTTACTGGTCACGAAAAAGACAAAAAAAAAAAAAAGAAATGCAGAATCTCTGGCCCACCCCATACCTGAGTCAGAATGTGCATTTTTTTTGTGTGTGTCCTTTTTGAGACCGGCTGCACCGCGATCAGCCAGTGAGCACTGTGAGCGCACCGGTCATCCCTATATAGGATCCGAACCCGTGGCGGGAGCGCTGCTGTGCTCCCAGCTCCGCACTCTAATGGGCTCGGCCCAGAATGTGCATTTTTAACAAGATCCTAGGTGATTAGCATATAATTAAAGTTTGAGAATTCCTCTAATGAGAATCACCTGGGAAGCTTTTAAGACATACAAGTCCTACTCCAGAACAATTAAAGTAGCATCTCTGGGAACGGGGCCCAGGCATGAGTGTTTTTACCAAGCTTCCAGGTGGTTCCGATCTGCAGCTTGGGCTGAGAACCATCTCTTTTTTGCTCCTGGGATGTTCCTTCTTTACTACTAGGTTTACATTGCTAGTGCTCTCAGAAACCACCTCTAAGGAGATGTGCAGTTCAACAATAGGATGAAAACAGGCAATTAGAGTAACCGTTCACCCTGGTTTATTCAGGACAGTCTCAACATAATTATGAATATCAGGTTCAGGGAAGACTACTTAAGATGGTGCCACCTGTGGATACTCAAAATGGCAGTTCCCACCCTATGGGACTCCTATAAAATAAAAAGACAAAGGAACTCATAACCACAACAGAACTCCACGCCACTGGTCCCCTCTGGAACCCTACTTTACATACTAAGGGAGCCAATAATCACAAACATAAAAATCACCTAATTAACATAAAGCCTCAACAACTCCCATTGGACATTCATTTATCTCCTCATTAACATAAGCTATGACCAATCAGAACAACACAACTCACCACCAGAAGAAACATAAGCCCAACCCCTGGGAGACAGGGCAGGCTAATTCTATTCCTATGCCTCCGCTCTGCCACCTGTTCCAATAAACTCCTTCTAGACTGATTTCTCATCTCAGTACCAATTCTTTCCGAAATTCTCAATGAATAGTGCCCTTTTTCACTCTCAAATGTATCCTAGTTCAGATGATAAAATATATGTTAAACAAAATGGCTCTTTACTGTTAGTGGATTATAAAGTCTTAATAAGAACAGGTGGAGCAAAATAACAGAGGGCCTTGGACTTGACAGATGAATCAGATATGGCGGGACTCCTGTGCTTAGATTTTAGTCCTTAAGGTCTTCTAGGTATGGCTTACCAGAAATACATTAATTCCTCAGTTGCAAGGAAGACTGGGGAAAACCAGGCCCCTCCCAAGGACTGGGGTGGGATGGGGTGTGGTTATATGCTGCGATGAAAGTATTAAAGCCCACAGTTGATTAGCCACAAGCTGATCATCAGTCTGTGATTATCCTAGCCCTTAACAAAACTTCTCCCTTTTCCTTTTAGGTCTTCTATTGTTCATTAGCTACTCCACCCATGGGTTCAAAGGGACAAGAAAAGAAGTTTAAATAGAAAATTAATTTAGCAGCCCTGCTAATAAATTGGATAGGAAAGAAGATGAAAACAGTTATACTGTTTCTGGTTACCTGTGATTTTGGCTCATTCCTTTTTCCAAATTATTACCAGCTGGGTTGAAGGCTCCTTGAAGGCCTACTGATTGTATAATTAATCTTGTATTTTTTAAACCATGTGATCTTCCGGCAATAGGCCTTTGGAAGCTTTCTTTACTGGTTTACCAAGGACACAGAGGAGGAGCAGGACAAGCACCTCCTCATCTCCTCAGGGCCCTTCCCTGACCACCAATTCACAGGCACATACAGATAGAAAGTTTAAAAATGTTTTTGATGTAAGAACTTATCTGACATCCATTTGAAACAAATAGCATAATCACTTTATGCAAAAGCAAACAAATGGAAAATCTACATGTGGGAGTCGAAATTGATGTGTGCTTAGATTATATCAAGTTTTCCTAGTTGCAACGCTAGGATAGTTGTGAGTACTTCGAGGCCACGGTGTAAATGTGTAAAACATGCTCTGTTCACATGTTTTTAAAATGCCTGAAGAAACTATCCATGTGCAAAGTGAAAAAACCAGGTGCCAATAAGCCAATTGACAGGGACTCTCTGTCCCCCTGCAAAATAACTTGAATGTAGATGGCTATTGACCTATGGTGGCTAAAACATTAAAAACTACCTGCTGAATTAGAGTGAGATTAGCAATGGCATCTCTGCATATTAGAGGGGTACTTTAATGGGTGTCTAAGTGCGTGCACGGAGGGTGGGTATGTGTTCTCTGCTTTCTGGGCTGCAAATAAGAACAAGCTGAAAAGGTGGAAAGGCTTTTCTGTGCAGCTGAAAAAGCAACACCAGATGGTCTTTTCCTGTCAGGCCCTGGATCAGTCAAAACGCTAGCAGCTGAAGGAACATGTCTTATCTTTGATCTCTGTTAATCGTTAACCAAAGGCGTTTCCTTCCAGAACTCTTTGAGGCAGAAGGAGGTGGTGCTGTAATACAACACAGCCCCAAAACACTCTGACTCAAAGGCCAAGGTAGAGTTGAGAGTAATTAAGCCAGGTGGTCCTGCTCAGGGACTCTTCTCTTTACTTCCGTTCTTA